ACCGGAGGAGGCAACATTGTGAGCTAATATGCAGATCATGGAGCCCTGCAAGAGCTAGACAAACAAAATGCTTCACCGGTAGCTCAGCTCCAGTTGTTTTCATTTGTGATGTCAGAAAATCATTGCTGACTTTTTATTAAAAGGGGATGCACCTTCCTGGGGGCATCACCACCAATGAACCTCATAGCTAATTAGACAAATTGTCAAGTAATATTTTTTAAAAACTAGCATATATGAAAGAAAATAGAAAATAGATTTACAAAATAGGTTTACAGATAACTGTTTTATGAAAATCTGAAAAATGAAATATGGTGGGAGAAAATGATGATACTAAACCTATAATGTCAGCATCAGAGCAGCAGCAGCATTTCAGGCATTTGATTTGTTTTTTTCTTCTTTGTGGTACTGACTTTTAAGATGTCTTTATATATGCAAGAATTCACGCCTGTTTGGGTTATATAGTGATTATTTGTCCAGTGACATTCACTTTGAGCAAACCCAAACTCCTCTGTATTTTATCAGTTTTATATGACAAACAAAACAGAGAGAAAACAGTAATAAATAATAGAAGAGATTACTACACTTGGAAAAGGTGATTAGTAATCTGTCCCCCTATAGGCCTCTTTATGAGCTATTTCTCTGGTGGCACAATGCAACAGCATTTCCCTGCAACAGAATTTCCTCGTGACACAGAGACGGTTTTGCCACTTAATTCCTGGTCATTATATCACGGGTGTATTGCATGATATAAGTGCAGACAAAAAGTTTCTTCTGGCTGTAGAATCAGCCTTTGATGGCCATTACAAAGGATGGCAACTGAAAGAGTACATACATGTAGGACATCTCGTCTCTAGAAATACAGTTTGTGTGGAGCAGGTTTGAGCTTTATTTTATGATGTGTCACATCGAGGAAGACACAATCATCTCAGAGTTATTCACTCTTCTCTGACAGCATTTTTTGTAGGCTGATCATGATTTTATAAGTAAAAAATAATAAATAAATAAATCCAAATTAGTCTTAATTTTATTTAGCTGTTTTTTACCAACAATGAGTTTCCATCATATTTTTAGAAATCTCCATCACATTTTTAGAAATTGTGGCCAAACACATAGATTGGTAGTTCTTTCTTCTTCAAACCCCAAGACACCTACAACCTTAATCCCTAGTTGCAAACTGGCTGGGTAGAGCATTTTCATGTGAAATAATCCCACAGTACATGACCTCGCAATTTTAAACTTAAATTAGGAACAGGGAGAAAGACACAGCACCTGTAAATCAGAATGGATTTTTACCACCAAGTTTCATTTGCTATCATACCCAATTCAAGATTAAATACGTGATTTCACTTTAGAAAAGTACAATATCCACTGTTATCTTCTATCCTTCTCATTTATTCAGCATGCAATATCATTTCAAGGACCCTGATGCTTCTACAGTTGTGTAATAGGTGAACAGTTACACAGAATTTTCACTAGTGAATTCTTCGTTGTGCATGACGCAGGGGCACGGCTGTTCTTTACTCATTTGGCAAATTGATTATAGCTCTTTAAAGCCTCTCAGGCAACACAAAGCAGACAGAAGAATTATGAGCTAGGTTAATGCATTTTACCTTGATAGAAAAAGCTTGTAGCTCAGAGTAGCCGTTAAGAAATTACATACACACACAGCCTTCAGCTTGAGGCTTTCACTGGAAGCTACATGACTAAATCAGAGGTTTATTAGTACCTTGTCGATGACTTTCCTTTGAAAATGAACCACAGCACTAATATAGGAAAAAGATTGTTAGCTACTGGTCAGTGTGATGTCTTGCTGAAACATTTATCAAACCACTATAACTGGCTGACATATGTTCTTCAAAAAGCAAACTTTAAAGATGGAGGTACAACAGAATCAACCATGATTCAGTTTATTATGTGCTTGTTACATGTTTTACAATCACTAGAAGTATAACAAGACTTCATATCAAATTTAGATTTCAATCCAAAACTAAATTTCACACAATATCTCAGGTTGGAGACAGTCATTCCAATTTTGATACTTGCCAGCCAAACTGCTTTTTTTTCACTATCGAGGAGATCATGGTAATTTGGCAGACTGGCACATGAAATAGGAAAATTCTGCACATACAATGGATGTATTCAAGACATGACAATTCACATAGAGCTGACAGTAGATATCAAATGAGTATACCTGAAACATATTTGTATCAAGTAAAGTCATGATCCAAACCCATCCAGAAACAAATATGTTTAATTTCCTAAATGCCTCCTGCATTGTGACAGACTCCCACATCTCAGGGCGGGTTCCCTAGGATATATGACCTCTGCTTTTCCAATTGGAATGCCAATCTGGAAGAGGAAATCCAACCAAGATACCTAACCTGTAAGGTTTAGTAAAGAAAAGACACAGGCTATGAATCTCAGGCACTAGGCCAGATCACTGCATTGTCTTAGGGCTGATGCAGAATGAGAGGATTAGGAAGGATATGTTTTAATCTGCTCTGTGTTAGAGATCTTGAAATTTTTGAAAGACAGTTTCATAGTTTTCATGTGTTTATTAAAACATTTATTCAATTTACAGTGTCTTGTTTCAGAAAGTGACTAAATAGGTTCTTGTTAAGATTTCTGGCAGATTATCTCAGTGCCAAAGACTGACCCTATCCACCTTCCCTCCTTTTTTTTTTTTCCCCGGAGAACTGCTGTATAACTAGAACTTTCAACACTATCCATTTGTTCTCTGATTGTCAAAAATCATGTACTCTTTTCAAGCACTGACAATAGATCCTTGCTATTAGTTCATCTGCCATTTGCTAGGGGGCATTTCTTGCTCATTTAATGAAGCATAGTAACACAATAATCTGGAAAAAAATGTTATTCTGTGTCTGTTTTGAAAACTAGATGCCTTGTTTGAAGATGTCACAAGCAGAATCTATGCACTCACTATTTAATAACAGAAGACAAGTGGCAGCGTTTGCAGACAGCAGAACATTTAGGTTGCTCAAGCCTAAAAAAAGACAGAGAGAATGTCAAAAGGAGAGATAAAACACAGTGACTCCTGTCATTCTATGACAAAAGCATTGTGTATACTGAATAGATAATTAGTGATTGTAAATCTCTGAAAGAGTGACTTTGAATTCATTTGAGATACCACTAAAAATACATACTCCGTTTTCATCAATAGCTAAATACAAGGCAAACAGAAAGACTGGGATAGCAAATAATTGAAAAAATGTCCTTAAATCAATTATATGCTTTCATTGGCAATTATATTGTCTCTCTCCATCCCTTTAGAGAGGGAAAAGCAGGCATACAAGAACTCCATGCACAAGTAATAGAAGTTTGTAGCAGAGAATGGACAACTTGAAGTGAAGATAAATGTACAGAACAGAAATGAGTCCAAGGAACAGACTAAGAAGCACTACGATAGAAGTATAAAAATCATTAATAACATGGCTAATAAAAATCATGATACACCTACTTATCCTTGTCCATTGTGCAATTACAATACCCCCTTGAGCACAACATAGATTTTAGAAAGTCTGACAGCATGATTTTACAACGTCATATGAATATGACAATCTTCAAGATTAACATGAGTGTTCAGACCCTGAGGACAAAGCGACACTTTACAGAGGGAAAACAAAAAGCATAATTGTTCATGTTTTGGTATAATCCAAGTCCAAATTTGTTTTTAGCAGATATGATCTGCTGCTGCATGCTGGTTATTCTCAGAGTCTCCCACTGCAGTATTTCATTTGCTGACTTATCCAAATCTGTGGCTTTGACCTATTATGGTACTTGCATCATGCTAAAAATCATGTAAGTTATTAGCTTAATGAAAAACCTTCTTCCTCCACTCCAATGACACCATTACCCTTGTTCTAGAACAATCTGAAGTGTGTATTCCCTGGCCAATAATGTGCACTAATCTGCAAAAGCAGTAATGTTTAGACATAGTTGGAAGGCAGAATTTCTATCTATCTTCCCATAAATGTAGGCATTGTATTTAAGGCAAAATTCTGACAGGGAAAATTAGTCATCTTGTACAAGAACCTTAGTTTCAAGTTTCTTCTAAGGGTCCTTCTTCCACTTTTCCTCATGAAGGCAACAGAGCTGAGCCTTATCTAGAAATACAGGCTATGCCAGATGGAGCAGGCTGGCTTAAAAATCAAAGGGACATAAGAGCCTGTTTTCTTGCAGTAGATAAACACGAAACGTTCTGCTCTGCCAGCACCTCTGAGCCCTCCTGTACCTTGGTGCAGCAGGCATCAGTTTGCTTTCAACTGCTCAAACGCCCACTTTGGCTGAGTTGCATCAAGTCCAGGAGTACTATCGTCATGTCAGCCTTAACTCTGTTTATGACTGTTACCTGTGAGCGTAAAGTATTGCTGTTAACTTGCTGTATTTAAAATAATTAGGCTTAGGGTCTGAAATATTACAGTGAAAAGCTGCCATTAGGGTGATACTGGCTCCACACACCACAAACATTAGTTTACCTTTTGAAAAACTCTGAAATTGAATAGTCATTGCATGATACTTTTTTCCTAGGAAAGGATAATGGTAAAAGGAGGACAAGGATGGGCAGGAGCCTTAAGGCATTTGGAATGGGAGTCTCTGCTATGTTAATTTACAAGAACTGTTTGGGTCTCATTTAGAAGACACAAGCACTATGAAGAGCTGCAGAGAACTGGCAGGATTAGCTACACATGAAGGTCTCCCTTTCTCTGATACTGATCTCAGAAATCTAATCAAAATCCTCATGAAGATCACAAGATTTTTTTCAATATTTTCACTGGATTAAAACTAGTATCTTTTTCCTGTCTTGTATAATAGTTACCTCATAGCTGGCACTTAATATGAAACAGTAATACAAATAATGTGGGCAATTCCAAAAGGTACTGGGATATACAAAATTTGAACTGCTTCGCACCGCACCTCACTCCGGAAAACCGCGTGGCCACGCTCCTGCTCTGCCTGTAGGCTCTGCAGCCACCTCTGGCATGGACAGAAGAGCCTGGGTTGGCACCCGGAGGCCTCATCGCCCACGCAGCCTCATCTCAGCCCAATTCACCAGCCCAGGGCCCAAGTACACCATCCCCGGGACAACGGGTAAAGCCACCGGCAACAGCAGGGTAGCACGGCCACCACCTCCAGGGGACGAGCAGCCAGAGCTCCCATCCCCTTTGCTGCTCCAAGCCTGCGTGCCAGCTCTCAGATACAGCAAGGACATGGCCACCCACAAGAAGGACTGAGCTGCTCATGCCACAGTCCCACAAAGAGCTGCCCAATGCTGCTCAGCACAGGTGGGGCCTCAGCCTTTTCTTGGGGTTTACGGGCTTTGCTTTGTCTTTACTGCTCGGCCCTGGAGCCACGCTGCCTGCAGGTCCCCTTTCTCTCTCTGATTCTTTATCAAGGCGTTTGCAAACCCAGCCATGCTTGTGCCTTTGCTCCTCTGCATCACAGGGCACCCTAGGGTCTGCTGGCATCATTCTGGGAGGAGAAAGTCACACAGGAAGGGCATTTCTTGAGGCTAGCAAGTCCAGCTCTTCCACTTAGAAACTACCTTCTGAAAGGCAGTTGCAGGCAGGTGTTCTCTCACGGCCTTTTCTTCCCAGGCTACCTGGCTCACTACCCCACCAAGGCCAAGGCCCTGGTGTACACCTTCTGAGGGGCCAGACCTCCCACCACAGACTGCTCTCCAGGTCCTCGCTACTGCATCCACCCATCCATCACCAGGAACAGGAAGTACGTGGCTCTGGTACAGCCCATCTGCGGGTGTCAAGGTCACCCCTGGACCAAGTGAGTATCATTGCTCCAGCCCTGCTGCCACGGAAGACAAGCACACCTCGCTGCTGCCCTGCCCTTGGCACAAAACCATCAGCTCTTGCCCCAACACAGGCTCAGAGGCTTCCAGGCACAAAAGGAAACAAGGCACAT